GAGGAGATACTAGTCGGCACTGATAGTTTAGTTACATATGCAGATTAAAAAGGGCAATTACATCTTAGATGTCGTGCACTCGTGCTATAGCAAACTAATTCCAACTTGTGTTCAAAACTTTATTCAATAAGTTTCATGAAAGTCATCTCTTGTCAGAATATCTATTCTCATATAACGATGACTGGATATGTATTGTTGTGTGGAATGATTCAGAGATGAAAAAGCATTGCAAAGAAGACATCAAAGAAGGCTGCTCAAGCTGCAGCTGCGAGTTCTGGTACTAGAGGCAAATGAGCTACTAAGAAGTGATTATGATCATTTGGTTTGGCTTTTGAGCCCAGAAGATGCCATCCAAGTTCGAAATATCATGGAAAGGTATAGATTCAACCAGTTCGTAAGGCACTGAATCATAATTGTGTAAAATTTTCAGGGTACACAAGTATTCTTGGTGAATTTTAGACTACGATCGTATATTATAATCTCTTACTTCTTGAAAGGTAAACAAAAAAAAAATGTTGGGAGGTAAACAAGAATTTATGATCGTCTACTCGACTTTGACTAGGACAATTGCAACATAATTGATATAATTTGTCCTAAACTAAAAAAAATAACTTCTAGCAATGCTTGAAACATTTTCACCTTGGTAGTAATGAAAATAATAAAGTAACATCCAATAGTAAGAAAGTGTTTGTTTTAGGTATTTAAATGACTTTGTTAGAGTTCTCTCTGTCAATTTAATTACAAAATTTGCAATCTTTATCTTTCTTCATTAGTACATTTTTACTTTGCATCAAAAGAGAACTATCTCACTAAAAATATACGCTATTTAATTTCTGATAAGTAAGTTTATGACCCACATCTTTAAATGATAATTCATGTTAATACATACACTATGTTTGATTTAGTTGTGATTTCAAACAATATGGTTTAACTATTACAAATCATATTTACACTACAAAAAAAGATTACATTGATAGCACTTAATCATAGCACGATTTTCGATTTTGCTATGAAAAAGACTACGTCGGATTGGAATACTTTATTATAGCATTTTATAAATGCTATGCCGAAATTTTTTTTTTGGTTTCACGCCTATCTTTTAAGTGCCCGCTTAAGTGAAAAACAAGCGGTTCATTTTCCCTCTTAACACTTAGGGAAAAAATCCTCTATCTCTTCTATTCTCCAAGTCTCCATCTCCAAACCCTAATTTCAATTCACCTTATTGGCTGCAGAGCTTTCTGGATTCACAAGCTCAGCTTCAGGAATTGCATTGGAGCGAGAAGATCGGATTCTCGTCGGATTGAATTCCACCACTGGAAGCGGAATCTTCGAATATCCGATGAGATTCGCGTCTTCTTCCTCAGATCGTTGAAGAAACAGTTTCTTGCGTCTAGGCTCGTCGGCTTCCTTCGATTCCGGCGATGGACGTTTCACGGGGCTGGTGGTTGAGGTGGTTGAAGAGGAGCCGAAAGATCCGAAGTTGAAGATGGTGCCGTATACTTCGTCGACGACTTCAATCTCTCTCTCTCGACCGCCGCTTTATCCCTCTCAGTCTCCCTCTCTCTTTTTCCCCCTTTCCTTCGATTTTGTCATAAACCCTAATTTTACTTCTTTATTTCGTCTTGTTTTTGCTACAGGTTATCCTAAGAGATTTAAATCGAGAAGGGAAAAAATCTCTGAGCTTCTTTTCTCTTGTAGAGTGAATCGATGCATCAGATTCGACCATCTCGAGCTTACGATTCCTAGGGACGACGAAGAGGGAGAGGCTAATTTGGGATGTGGAGTCGCCGGTGATGATGGTGTTACGAGGGTTGATGTTGATGAAGATTATGAAGAAGCTGGTGGTAGTAAAGAGAGCAAAGCTAATAGATTATAGATGAGGTTTTCGATCTAAAATCGCAATCAAAAATCTTTGTTGATTCCATTGATGTGAAGCTTGATTCTGATTGTTTCTTGTTCTTGTGTTTGCAGCCAATCTCGGTGTTGCTCGAATCCTTGAGAAAGCTTCAATTGATGTCTTTGAATTTGGATATTCTTAAGGTCGGTCTCTAGTGGATTAGTGTATGAAGTTTGTTGTTGTTGATCTTAAGGTTTTGAGATTCTTCTTTCAGAGTACTGAAATCGGAAAGGCTGTTAATGGTTTGAGGAAACATGGGTTTTGATAAGATTCGCCAACTCGCAAAGACTATTATCCTGTATGAGTTTTATCTTTCGTTAAAGAACACGAAATTTGGCAATTTCTTTACTCTTTTAAATGTGCCATTAAGGTTTTCATGTGTATATGCAGTGAATGGAAGGAGTTGGTAGCAGAAACTCAAAGCTTTTGATGCAGACGCAAGAAGTGAAAAGCTCCAGGACCTTAACAAGAAGTGAGTGTTGGAATCAAAGAGTTTTAGTCGTATTCTTGAGCAGGGAAGTAACGGTTTTAATCCTTCTTTGTTCATGGCAGAAACTCAAAGCTCTTGATGCAGACGCAAAGTTCCAGTTTGCTAAGAGGAAACTTCAAGTGAGCTACCAACAACATGAGAACGGTTTGTTCCTTTACCTCTTGTGATTTTTGACTGTGAACATTTGTGTTTGCAGGTAGATTCAGGCTGGGACATTGATGAATAACTATGCACATATATTTGATGCAAAACCTCTAATAGGTTTGCCTCAGCAGGACCTCTAAAAGGAATTCTCAGGTATACAGATGAAGATGTTGTATCTCTTCTTTTTCTTCAAAGTGATATGAATATCCTGAGTTTTGGCTTTGTGGTTGATTTCGATTTTGTTGTAATAGGTCAAGTATGTTTGATGCCAATGATGGGATTCATTGAGCAAGTCCTTTGGCCAATATTTTGTTACTGTGATGAAATGACAAATCACGAGCTGATGATGGCGGGGAACCACGATATCTCGTTTAGGCAGGAGCAATATATGGAAGCTCGACAGAATTATGAGCATTTTAATTTTATTTCCATTTTTTTTGTAAAACTTTGATCTAACTCTTTTGTTGGTTTGTAATGTTAACAATTATATAAACATATTTTGTTTAAGTTTAATTGTCTTTTCATTTTAATATTTTCCGAAAAAATAGCGTAAAAAAAAACAAAATTGACCAAAATATATAATATAAAAGGATTATTATATTTAATATATACCTAACTAATAACAACAAATAAATACTATTAAAGGTAGTAATGGCATTCGATTATTGCTATGAAACAATAAATAAAGACATTAAAAAAGTGCTATTGTAGATGAACATACTATAGCAGACAAAATTAATGCTATTGTAGGTGGGGTATCTACCATAGCTGCCGCAATCATAGCAGTTGTTATTTCGCTATGTATTACCTATGATAGCATTTTTTCCGCGCTAAGAATGTAAGTTTTTCTTGTAGTGTTACATTAAATAATAAAAAAACTTTTCAAAAGAATACCCGCAACGTAGCGCGGGTTTCGACCTAGTCACTTAAAAATTATGTTAATTTGATTAACATTGGTTGCTGGTGTCGGATCTAGCACAACCCAACCAATTTCATTTTAATCTGGTTATTTAACAAAGCCTAAAAATCTTTACACATTAAACTTGAATTTTTCAATACAAATCTATAACATCATTTTTGTTTTGTTCCACATCTAAAATTGAGAGAAAGTTATGGGAACACATATACTGGAAACAACAAATCAGTATTAGTCAGCTAATCTATATAAATTCATTTAACGTCCCTACAATCTATATAAATTTGTATTGAAATTCGACCTAGTCAATTTTAAAAGTTTTTGGTCGAAGGCTGATCACACGTCTTCATACATTGTTCAAAAAGATGTATATGATTGTTTGTTATTTTAATTAGAAAAAAAATTGTTTTCAATTATTTTATGGATAAAACGAATTTCAATACAAATTTATATAGATTGTAGGGACGTTAAGTGAATTTATATAGATTAGCTGACTAATACTGATTTCTTGTTTAAACAAGACAAAAATGATGGTATAGATTTATATTTGAAAACCGTTGTAAAGTAGTAAATGATATTCAGTCTAATTAGACAAAACAAAAAAGTTGGTACTACAATTATGTCGTAACTTTATAGTAAATTTGCCACTATTTTGTTTTAATTTTAGTAAGTTCAAATCAATGAAACTTTCTGTGTAGGACACAAAATTGCAGGAGAAAATTGTTTACATTATATTTATAAAATAAATAAGTAAGTAATTACCAAATTTTGTTGTAAATTTGTCGTAAATTAGCCATGTATGTGCAGACGTTTTGTTGTAATATATATATATATATATATATATATATATATATATATATAGTGTTCTAAAATACGTTATACGCTAGGCGTACGGTGGAGCACCGTATAGCGTATAGACGTATATACGACCGTTTATGCGGGACTATACGGTAGATATTTTTTATTAAATAAATATAAATATATATAATAAAAATAAAACATAAATATAGTATCATGATGATACTATACATGAATACAAAAAAAATCAAATTTTCAATTTTACAAAATATTTTTAAAATTTTAAATAACTAATAAGCATAAAAATAGTGGAAAAGAATGATAATTAAGTTATTTTATAGTTAATTATTATGATTAATTTTTTGAGAGCCAAACTAAAAATTTTGTTAAATCATTTTTCCAAACATTAATAAAATGACATAGTTTTTGTTTTGAGTATTTAAAAAAAAAACGTCGTATATGCGGATTTCACCGTATATATGCCGTATAATCGCCGTATATGCGGACCGTATAGCTTTCACCGTATTAAACAACTGTATAGCTATAATACAGTACGGCTTCCCACCGTACAGCGTATATACGCCGTATATACGGCCGTACAGACCGTATTTTCGAACACTATATATATATATATATATATATATATATCAGATTTTTCGTATAATTATACTCAAAATGTCTTTTAACATGTGTGGAATTATGGATTACAAGAAGCAATGATCAATCTAAAGATTACATTTGAAGACTAGACATGAATTATTGGAAGATCATAACTCATAAGGTAGGGTACCATAAGGAGTGAAAGTAAGATTGTTTAGAAACCAAAAGAAGTAGAAGTATTAGCATAAGCAAAACTCCCCACGGAAAGTTTCCTTCTCCAAAAAGGGACTTAGCCTGGTTTGCTCTAACGGAGTAAGAGGATTTAAAGAGAAGTCGATGGACGAAGTTTAGAGAAAGGAGGAGGAATACAAAGAGAATTGGGAGGAATAGCATGAAGAGCTTGAGATTAGCCGCGGTTTTCTCAACCTCGTATTTGTAACGCGGGTATGAAGAGAGGAATAGGAGTAAAGATATGATGGCTAAGAGAGCTAGTAGTGTAAGAGGAGGTGCTGATGTTGTTAGTAGTGTTTCCTCTAACCATCCTCGCTTCCATGAACCTCCTCTTCTTTCGTTAATAAACCAACCCATCTTCCTCTTTGTCTCTCTTTTTTTTTTGGGTTCAAACTCCTCTCCTATAGTGGCCTTCGTTTGCTTTTGTATTGGAGGTTTGGAGCATATATATATATATCTTTTCGACAAACCAAAATGCCTTTTTTAAAAGATGCCGTTTTTTTTTTTTTTGGTAATTAGGAAAAGATGCCTTTTTGTTGTAGAGTGATACTTAGGAGAATTGTAATTATTAAATTACAACATCTTTACAGTTATTTAAAATCTTGGCACATACAAATATAAAATTTTATCATCAAAATTCAATTCGTAATAGAATTTAGTTTTTCAAAATCATCAATTAGTTTAAATTTGCATTGTTGACTTATCGTTATAAATTTTTTATTATGATATTAATTATATAACAGATTTTCTACTTTATAAATTACATTCTTGTCGCCTTGTCGGACAAACAAATTTACAATTAATTAATTATTTATAAAAGTAATTGGTTAAAATCCTTCCCAACACTTAAAACTTAGTACTTTATATATATTTTAGTAAAGGTAAAGTCCGATCAATTGATGTGGCATAACCGCATATGTTCCCTGGAAAAGAGTCGTTCTCGAACACTCTTTTAGACTTTTTTTTTTTATTATTATTCTATATTCCATAATCCTTTTTATTGCATTTCTCTCTATTTAGGAATTCCTCACATAATTTAACAAATAATCTATATTATATAAAGTTGGGTTTTTAATGTTTTCATCTTACGTGATCACAACATATATCAAGTAATTATCTACAAATATATGTCACGTGTAAAATCTAAATTTGAAATATATTTAAAAGCAAACATAGAAAAGCTCTTAACATATCGGAAAAATATACACATAAATAAAAGAATATTTTTTTATATTAAAAAATAGACTTTTGCAAAAATACCACTTTTTCAATGCTACTTTTCAAAAATACCCCATTTTTAAAACTATATAAAAAATGCTCTTAAAAATATAAGATTTACCCAAATATGTATGTAATATTATTAAAACATACACAAACTACATTTCTATGTATCTAAAATCTTATAAATACTTTATAAATACCTTATAAATGCATTTTAAATACCTTTAAAAACCTTTAAAATATCTTGTAAAACCTTTGAAAAACCTTAAAAATTCTTTAAAATAACTTATAAAACCTTTAAAAACACCTTATAAAACCTTATAAATACTTGGATCGAGTCTTCAAGTAGTAGTTACAATCCATAAGTACCTTATAAACCTAATAAAACTTTATAAAAATTTCAGATTTAAAAAGGGGCATTTTTGAAAATAAACATCTAAAAGGGGTATTTTTGAAAAAGGACACACCAAAAGGGGTATTTTTAACAATTTCCCTAAAAAAAAAGTAAAAGTTTTTTTTATAGAGAAATTCCTATATTAAACTATAAACTTTAATTCTAGTGAAATTCTTTTTGTTATTTCATTAATAATAAGTAATAAATGTGGATGTAGGATTCACACTCGATTGTTTTTAAGTATTTTTGTGGAGAAAAACTCTAAAATCAACAAATGAAAATAAGGATTTGAAGAGGAAAGTAACCAAGAAACTAAATAAAGCGAAAGAGCTTGGCAAGAGTAAAATAATAAAAAGCCTTGCAAAATTGTAAGAGAAAGAGTATGTTGTATTGCTTGATCGTAAGAGGTAAAAAGTTGTTCTCTCCCCAAACACATGCGTTTGAGGTTGTTTTTATAGAGAAAACATGATCAATGCGGTCATTTACTGCTCATAATCGCATTGATCCGCATTAATCATGTAGGTTACAATTTGACCGAAACGGCTTGAATTTGAACTATCTTGGGCTTCGCGTGGATCCTGAACTCTTTCTTGTTGACTCCGAACTCCTGCGTCTTGACGATGCCACGAACCTCGAACAATATTCTCCTTGCTTCGGCCTTCCTTTATGCGAACTGTATGTTGAATAAGAGCGAACTCCGTACTGGTAAAGATCGAGCTCTTTAATAAACTGAATCGAACTTCCGACAGGTCGAGCTCGATCCCGGCAACGAGACATCTAGAAATCCAAGAGGATTATTATGTAATAATGACGTGGACAGATCCAAGAGGATCCTACCGAAGATGTGTGGGATCCGACCCCAACATTTAGCCCCCCAAGTCTTGCGAGCTGAATGCTCGGCTTGGAAGACTTAAGTAAACATTAATTAATGACTCGAGATCTTTAGCATTCCGGAATTATTCCATGTTTTACGCTATTACGCCGATCTCGGATAATCAGATGATTTGATATCCCTGCAACCGTCATCATTAATTTTTTAGTTTTATATTAATACTGCGGGGAAAAC